TGCTTTTTAAGATGCTGTCTACGTTTGTCATCACTTTCCTCCCAAGAAGCAAGCATCTTTTAATTTCGTTGCTGCTGTCACCATCTGCAGTGATCATGGACCCCAAAAAAGTAAAATCTGTCACCACCACCATTTCTTCCACTTCTATTTGCCAGGAGGTGATCGGACCAGTGGCCATGATCTTAGGGGTTTTTTTATGTTGAGCTTCAGACCATTTTTTGCACTCTCCTCTTTCACTCTCATTACAAGGTTCCTTAATTCCTTCTCACTTTCTGCCATCAGAGTGGTATCATCTGCCTATCTGAGGTTGTTGATATTTCTTCCAGCAACCTTGATTCCAGCTTGGGATTCATCCAGTCCAGCCTTTTGCATGATGTATTGTGCACATAAGTTATATAAGCAGGGAGATGGATAAGGTGGTCAGGCACCTTTAAGGACTTGTCATAGTTTGCTGTGGTCCAGACAGTCAAAGGCTTTTGCTTAGTCAATGAAGCAGAAGTACATGTTTTTCTGGAACTCTCTGGCTTTCTCCATAATCCAGAGCATGTTAGCAAATCTCTAGTTCCTCTGCCCCTTTGAAATCCAGCTTGTACTTCTGGGAGTTCTTGGTCCATATTCTCCTGTAGCCTACCTTGTAGGATTTCAGCATAACCTTGCTAGCGTGTGAAATGAATGCAATTGTATGATAGTTGGAGCATTCTTTGGCATTGCCCTTCTTTGGGATTGGGATGCAGACTGATCTTTTCCAGTCCTCTGACCACTGCTGAGTTTTCCAAACTTGCTGGCATATTGAGCGTAGCACCTTGACAGCATCGTCTTTGAAGATTTTCTTAAATCTGTTCTTCACCTCCACTGTATATTCATAAGGGATTTGGTTTCAATTATACCTGACTAGCTCAGTGGTTTTTCCTATTTTCTTCAGTTTAAGCTTAAATTTGGTATAAGAAGCTGATGATCAGAGCCACAATCAGCTCCAGGTCTTGTTTTTGCTGACTGTATAGAGCTGCAGAGAATATAATCAATCTGATTTCGGTATCGTCCACCTGGTGATTTCCATGTGCAGAGTCACCTCTTGTGTTCTTGGAAAAGAGTGTTTGTGATGACCAGCTTAATGGCAAGAACATCATTCTTTGGTGTCAGTTCTAGAAGGTGTTGTAAGTCTTCATAGAATTAGTCAGTTTCAGCCTCTTCAGCATTGGTGGTTGGTGCATAAACATGGATTACTGTGATGTTGAAAGATCTGACTTGGATTCGTATTGAAATCATTCTATCATTTTTGAGATTATATCCCAGTACAGCTTTTCCCACTCTTTTGTTGACTGTGAGAGCTAATCCATTTCTTCTACAGGATTCGTGCCCACAATAGTGGATATGATACTTGTCTGAATCGAATTTGACCATTCCTGTCCATTTTAGTTTACTGACGCCCAGGATGTCAATGTTTATTCTTGCCATCTCCTGTTTGATCACATCCAGTTTACCAAGGTTCATAGATCTTACATTCCAGGTTCCTATGCGGTATTTTTCTTTACAGCATTGGACTTTCCATTCACTTCCAGGCGCATCCACAGCTGAGCATCCTTTCAGCTTTGCCCAACCTCTTCATTAGCCCTGGAGCTCCTTTTACTTGTCCTCCACTCTTCCTCAGTAGCATGTTGGACACCTTCCAATTTGAGGGGCTCATCTTCCAGCGTCATCTTTTAGCCTTTTGTTTCTGTTCATGGGGTTTTATTGGCAAAGATACTGGAGTGGCTAGCCAATTCCTACTCCAGGTGGATCACGTTTAGTCAGAACTCTCCACTATGATCGGTCCGTTTTGGGTGTCCCTGCACAGCATAACCCGTAGCTTCTCTGAATTACGCAAGCCCTTCACCACGACAAGGCAGCAAATCCATGAAGGGTGACCAAAGGCATACTTGTAGACTATTCTAGACCTCATTGTGACCTCCAGGTACACATTTTTGCACTCGGCCTTCTACTGCTGTCTCTGGACAAAATTAATTAAACCCCCAGCATTTGGGATTATATTCATTGGATGAAATCCAATACGAAAATTCAGTTGTAGAAGAGATAGTTGTTCTGTGCTAGCATATCAGACTTGCAAAAGGAAAAAGAAACAAAAATGTTGTGTCACCCTAAAGACTGAGTGTTATATTTTAATGTGAGCTTTCATGGACCAGTCCAGATGCAGAATGCTGTAGAGGCAGCTTTCGACTCTCAGACCAAGGAAGTGGGCTTTTCCACAAATGCTCCCATTAAAATCTAGCATTTAGTATTTAAGGTGCCACAACATTTTTGTCTCATGTCTTTTTTTATTTTTATTTTGTTTTTGCCTGAAAATTCACAGCTTTCAGTGTATTGCCAACTGACAAATAAAAAGTCTCTTCCACAATTTGCAGTTCTCAGAGGAAGGGGGGGGTCATGCACACACACCCAGGAATCATTTTGGAGACTGCTGGCTAGAAATGGATGGTTTTTTTTCATGCTATGCAACAGGATTTCAGCTGTTGTTTGCAATTAATGTCAGCAGGAAGTGTGTATCATTCTAAGTAGAATCATAGACCACATATGAAAATTTACAACAGTGTTTTGTTGCATTTCAGCTCCAGAAACTGAAGCGATCGCTTTCCTTCAAGACCAAAAGTTTACGGAGCAAAAGTGCAGACAACTTCTTCCAACGGACAAACAGTGACATGAAATTGCAAGTAGATTTGTTATCAGAAATTGGCTCCAGAACAGGCCAGCTCCCAGACTCTGACAGTCAAACGTCTACTCCAACCAAAGCCCAACCGCAACAGGACAACAACAAGGCTCACATTTTCCAAGAACACATCTTCAAGAAACCGACATTCTGTGACATCTGCAACCACATGATTGTTGGTGAGAAATATTCAGTATTGATGTATAGTTCTCATTCCCAGGGGTTTGGGAGTTCTAGCCCAAAGGAATTTACACCAATTCATTTTGCCTCATTTTGAAGTTGCGTACAAAATAGCAAGACACATTTTTGTCCAAGCATTCCTTTCCTTTCCTTGTACTTTAATAATAATGATGATGATGATGATGATGATGATGATGATGATGATGATGATGATGATGATGATGATGATGATGATGATGATGATGAGCTGTCAAGTCAATTCAGACTTCTGCCAACCCCTTTCAGGTTTGTCGTTTTGTTTTGTTTTTTGGTAGTGAATACTCTGAAGTCATTTCCCATTCCCTTCTTCTGGAGACACCCTGGGACTGTGCAGCATGCCCAAGGCCAGAACAGGCTGACTCTTTTGAGATACATAGTGGGGAACTCATCTCCCAGCCTCTAGTTCCACAGCCGGATTCCTAATTCACTGAGCTATACAGCCAGTTTTATACTTATTAGCTACTGGAAATAAACTTCAGGCAGGAATTCTGGAGCTCTCAACCCTAGCCAGGTGCTTCAGCCTAGTGAGTTGTGAGAAAATTCCTGAACCTTTATGGGGCAGGAATAAAGATTCCACTTTCCTGTGGATTTTCATCAGCCTACTCACCAAAAGACTTTCAGGTTCCACAGTTAATATGTCAAAGGATGAAGATGGACACAAACCTTGGTTTGGAGGGTCGTGCTAGTTCGTACACATCCTCAGTGCTGTGCATTCCTTCCTCTGCTTCTCTGGCCAGTGACCCATTCACCAGCCAGCAAGCACCCCTTTCCTCCTCCTCTTTGGTTAGTTGACTAGTCCCCAGGAGGAGCACAAGTTTGCCTGTCCTGCCTCCTTGTCTTAGTGGGCAATCAGCCAAGGAGGAGGGGCAGGAAAGCCCGTGCTCTTGCCAGAGACTGGTCAAACAGCCAAAGAGGTGAGGAGGGTGAACTGGCTGGTGAGTGAGGGATCCAACCAGCAAGGTGGGGGAAGGGAACATGTGGCACCTGTGGTGCGACACATACAAAGTGGCACGAACCTCCAAACCAAGGTTTGTGCTCATCTCTATCAAGAGAATGTCAAGTTTGCATTGTGCAGTTTTTACGAATAAAATGTATCTCTCCTCTCCTCCCAAAAATATATCAGGAAATTCTTACTTGTAGTATTTCTCAGTGTCCTTTGCAAAGGCTGACAACAGTTGATTTAAGGGAAGAGAAAGATTTTTCAAGAAGTGATGACAAACTCCCTTTTTTTTCTTTCCACAAAGTGGAGGAAAATATAGGAAATGGATTCTGGTTTGAAGTGTACAACTCTCTGCTATTTAAATACTTATAAGAACTTCATGAGAAAGTAGAGTGTCTTTCTATTACCATTGTTTTCAACTAAGATTCAGTTAATATGCACCCTGTCTTTCATGTTCCTCACAATGAATATTCAACTGGTGTCCTTTGAATCATGGTTAAATTAGGAGCCAATTGTAAGGGCAGAGAAAAGAACACAACAAAATGTTTCCCTAAAAACCCTCTTGTTCTTCTTCAGGATCTTTTTATATATGGACATCATGTTAAGATATGATCATTGAATCTTTTAAAAAGCACATGGAGAAATATTTGTGAAAAATGGGAATAGATGTGGTGAAATAAAAATGCTCCCTCAAAACCACCACAAGCAGCAGACAGACAGTAAAGTGGAAGAAAAGCCTGGACCTCTGATTAAAGAATAACATACTTATTTGAAACATTCCATTATAGCAGTCTGTTAAAATGAAAATGTTGTCATTTTGAAAAGTAATACAGTGGTGCCTCGCTTGACGACATTAATTTGTTCCAGCGAAATCACTGTAGAGTGAAAATGTCATCAAACGAAATAAAAAACCCCATAGAAATGCTTTGAAAACCGTTCAGTGCGTTCTAATGGGCTGAATACCTACTCGTCCAGCGAAGACCCTCCATACAGCGGCCATTTTCGGTGCCTGTAAAGTGAGGAATCTAGAAAACAGTGGGGAGCCATTTTCTTCAGCCAGTGGTTATTTTGAAACCGGATGATCAACTGCTTGCTGATCATCGTAAAGTGAAAATCGGTTCCTGAAGCAGGGAACCGATCATCGCACAGTGAAAAAATCCCATTTAAAACATTGTTTTGTGATTGCAAAAGCAATCACAAAAACGTCAACGTAAAGCGGATTCATCATAGAGTGGGGTAATTGTCCAGCAGGGCACGACTGTAAATGCAAAAATAGTTCTAAAGGCAATATAAGGAGGTCTAATGCACACTTAATTTTAATAATGATGTGCTGTCAAGGTGATTCTGCCTTACAGTAACTCTTTCCAGGCTTTTCTAGAAGTATTCAGAAGTGGTTTACCATTCCCTTTTTCTGGTTGCGTTCTGGGACTGTGCACCTTTACCACGGCTACACAGACTGGAGAATCAGACTCCTTACAGCAGTCACAATTCTGGGACTGTGCACCTTTACCATGGCTACACAGACTGGGTCTCTCTTCCTGAGAGGCCCTATGGAGAATCAGACTCCTTACAGCAGTCACAGCCCATTGCAACCTGACTGACATTTCCCAAAGTTGGAAAACACTGGAGGCTATCTCAGAAGGGCCAGAAAAAACTTCAGTGGCATAGGGGTGAAGTCCTGATGCATGTGCAACCGCTCCGAGACACACCACACCAACCAAAGGCTAGTTGCTGAGTCTAACATGCATTCAGAATGCGCAGATACTTTGAGTTTTGCACAAGCTCGATTTATCATGATGGTATTTTCCTAGGCTTTATTGTCTACATGTTTATTGTCTAACGTAATCAGAGTCAAATGCACTGAAAATGCTGTATTTGATGTTTCCCTGAGAATTAGATTTTCAGACTACTATTATGATCACTTGAAGAAATTCAAGGAGTCCATAAATCCTGCAAACTGCGTGGTAAACTTTTCTAAAGCACTACAATATCTCTACTCTGTTATTTTGTGGAGTACACTCTGAGTTATATGAAATGAATATGGAATGACAATAAAAATAAACAGTTTTCATAAATGGAAAACCCAACAATCTTGATACTTGGAAATATAAGAGATTCCAAAGTGCGGAATCATTGCATCTAGTGAATTTGTTCAAGGAAACTAGCTGATGTGATTTATTTATGAATTACTGAGGAGCATGAAATGAATGTACGGTAAAAGAGTAAAAGAGCCATGCACTCTGTCCCTATCCTGCCCCATCCAGTATTGCTTGTGTTTTGGTTTAGTCACATTTTACTTATTATGTATTAACTTATATTAGGGGTGGAAAAGCAGGCACGAGACACGATTCCTCAGGAAGACGTTATTTAAAGGCCAGTCTAGAACAAAATCACCACTATGTTGAAACAGGAGGCCGTTATTTTTATGTACTCAGTCTCTGTTCCCTTCTTTCTCCTTTAGTCTGTACTGCTTTAATTCATACAGTTGTGCACTAAAGAAAACAATGTACCAGTGCTGGAAAGAAAAACATTTTTCCCTATATTATTTTTCCTGTAGTGACTCCAATGGGAAAAAAAATCTGAGTTTTCCCTACATTCTTTGCATACCATGTCTCAAACATAATGATTCCTAAATATGTTAGTACACAAAAAGTGTAAGTTCAGCATGAGTGTAGATCTATCTAAAATTGGTTATACAGACCAAAATTGGTTATACAACATAACTGGAAAATCAAGAGACAGTGCCTGACACTGCTATTCTATTGCATCTGAGGCATCATAGGCTATATGTCTCCTGCATAAGGGGGAACAGTTCCACATTCAGAAAAGACATGATAATAGAATCTTAGAATCATGAAACTGTAGAGCTGACAGGGACTCCCAAAAGTCACCAATCCCACCTACCCCCATCTGGGCAGAAGAACTACAGCTAAATCATCCCAATCATCCCAAACAGATGGCTCTCCAACCTCTGTTAAAAGCCTCCAATTAAAGAAAGTGCATCTTCTTCCAAAGTAGCTTATTCTGTTGCTGAAGCAAAGCATGCTGCTTATATATATACCACCCCATAGTGCTTCAAGCACTCTCTGGGTAGTTTACAAGTTAATTATGCAGGCTACACGTTGCCCCCCAGCAAGCTGGGTACTCATTTTATCAACCTCGGAAGGATAGAAGGCTGAGCCAACCTTGAGACCACTACCTGGAATTGAACCCCAGGTCATAAGCACAGTTTTGGCTGCAGTACAGCAGTTTAACCACTGTGCCACGAAGCAGCTGGTACTGTCAGGAGGTTCATTCTAATATGCAGTTGAAATCCCTCTTTTTTTGTCATTTTAGCCTTTACTTTGGGTCCCAACATCTGAACCAGCAGAATCAAGTTTGCTCCATCTTTCATTTGGCATATTTCAGAAATTGGGAAATAGCTGTCACATGGCCTCTTCTCCAGGCTAAATATACTTGACTCCCTCAGCTGTTCCTCAGAAGGATTCATTTCCAGTCTGTTGCCTTCCTCTAGACATATTCCATCTTTCTTAAATAGTAATGGCCAGAACTTGACACAGTATTCCAGTTGACATCATACAGAGGTTCATGAAGCTAAAGATCCTTTATTGAAACTCCAGTATCAAAAAGAGGGAAGAAGGCATGCTGGGAAAGTGGCATGTGCACCCACATCTGCCCTAGAACAGATTACTAGACTATGCCAGCCTGGCAGCTGGCACAGATCTATTCTTTGTCACTGATGTCAGTGAAGAAACACTGCTATAACTTCACCTCAGCCCTGCAAAACACAGCAGTGCTCTCGGCATCCAACATCACAGCTCTCCAAGATCGATTATCCTGCTCATAGATGTTATATTGTCATTGTTGGGAGAAAGAATATGTCTTCATTTTTTTCTGGTCAAGCTTGCAACCGCCCTTTCTCCTCTTTCCACCTTTGCATGAAGTATATGTTTCACAGATTATATGGGCTTTCTTACATATAATCATATGTACACAGCTTATTGTTGTGTGCAGATTTCA